GCATCCCCTACAGCCGTCGCAGCCCAGCTAAGGGCTAGGAGGGAAGCCGGCCATCAGAGGGCTATGGCCCATATAATTGTCGCAATTATAGTATTGGTAGAGGGTTATTTTATAATTATCGCTATTAGAGAGACATATAAATATTTGTAAGACTCTATTTGTGAGATTAAGCAGAAACATATTATTGTTTCCGGCTTCCTCGAGGAGCCGGAGAAACCCTAGCCATGAGAAACCCTAGTTGCCTCTACTGTTCACGCGTGAACAGTGCCGCCTGCTACTGTAGCGTGAAGGTTAGGGCTACCGCAGCAGCCGCCCATCCTCCACCACGGCGTCCAGCCGCCGGCAATGAGGTTCCCAAACTGCTCCACCTCCCTCTCACCCCTCTGCTGACTCCGTGATCTCACGCGGTAGGATCCGTAATCCTATCACAGATGGTTTTGCTAAAGGTCGCGGGTGTAGAAAATCAATGCTACCAGGATAACAATCCTTTTGGTAGCATTTTTTCGTTTAAGTAGACCCGACCATATGTGGTTGGTCTTTATTATACATTCTGGGAGTCAAAAACTTTGCACAGTCATGTTTCCCTGAAAAGTGAAAGTTTTGCAAGTTGCAACTAACCAATTTAGTGGTGGCTGAAAGCACTGCATAGGATTGATAACCTGGTGCTCCACAAATTACTAGACCATTTTTTTTCCTAATAAAGAAAAAATAAAGACAATGTTGGCCTCAAAAAGATAGCCTTATGCAAACTAGTTGATCGTCTATATAATTTCTGTCCCAGACGCAATTATCTTGTATTGCCAATAAACTGTGAGCCTTTGAGGTTTGCGATTTGGAACAAATTTTCTTTTTCCTAACGAGGATAAATTTTACGCATGAGGCATGACTGCCAAAACCAAGTGATCCCACCAAGTCACCAAACCGAAATTAATCCTGCGCAGTTGTCTTAAATACTCAAATTTCAGCAGACAATCAAATCAGTAGGAGAGGAGATGAGGTCAACTCACGTCAACGCAGAGGCGACAGGCGAGCTCGATGGCGGCCACGAGCGCGGCGAGCTCGCGGTGGTGGGTGGCGCACTCCGGCTGGAAAGGGAGTCCGTAAGCCCCCGCCGCAACTGACACCGCTGCATCCCCAGCCGCCCTATCCACGAACAATCACTAGTGAGAAAAGAGGTGGCGGCGGCGGGAGTAAAAGAACTCGCGCACATGGTGTTGGGTAGGGTTAGGGTCCGGACTACGGAGGGTCATGACTCGTGAGTTGGTTCACCTGACGGAGAGGCAGGTACGATGGGGAGACGGCGGGAAGAACAGCCGGCCTCGGCAGCCGACGAGGAGGCGGTGCGACGGGAGGGAGAGGTGGAGGAGCGGCCTGGGTGTGTGTGTGTGTGGCGGGACCGAAACGAGCGGCGCCGCCTGCGATGCCTCCGCGGAAATACGTAGAAATACGTATATGTATTTCAGAGGTATATTCGCGTTTGAATTTGAGCCGTTATCTGTCCTGCGGCATGTTTGATACTTTGAGCTAAAAATTAGTTAAAATTAACTCTATTATATTTAATGGAAGTGCTAGCGTCCGGACGGACGTTCGTGTCCTGACGTCTAGACGTCCGCGCCTGCACTCCGTTTCACGCGCCTCACACGAGGGCCGCGCCGCCCGAACGTCACCAGCATTGAGAAGAGAGGAAGGGGCGGTGCCCGCCTGTGCCTATGGTTCGTATAGGATGCCCAGTCGGCGCTAGGAGGATGAGACATCAAGACGAGACAGGAGAAGGCGAGGAGGAAGGTACAACACTCGATCTAATTTTAAAACATCCAGATGAAACATTTGCAACAAACGTCGGAAGACAGATGAAACACTTGAAACATGTGTCTGAAACACTTGCAAAAAAATGAAAACTGTTGAAAATCATTGCAAAACATACGCAACATCCAGATAAAACACTTGCAACATATATGTGAAACATATGCAACGTCCAGATAAACACACTTACAACATATGTATAAAAAACAGATTAAACATTGGGACTACAAGCTTGCAACATACATGTACAACTATGTCAACATATGCAACACCCCGATCTACTCTTGCAACATCCATATGAAACACTTGCAACGTACCTATAAAACAACTGAAACACTTGAAACATACGCTTGCAACATCCGTTTTTCACCCTTCTTCCGTATGTACGACGCAGCGCATCGGAGGAACGGTCGGTTCCATCCGGTGGCACCCGAGGATGGCGGCGGCGGCTGGTGGCGCCTTAGTTGGGCTTCTACGGCCTGGGCTCGACCGACAATGACGACCCCTTTGCTCGCCGCCTTAGCCACACGCTGGCGACAAAGGCCCGAGAGAGGAAGAGGTAGTGATGGAAGACGGTTAGCGGCGATCGACGAAGGAGAAAAAGCGAGCATGGCGCCGCCACCACAAACGTCTGCCCCGTGTCAGATCAGGAGACAAGCGGTATTGTTTTGTTTTCGAGTGGATAGACGAGCTATGGTGTAGGAGAGAAAAGGTAGAGACTGTTGAGCCGTTTGTATGGGTTGGGATCCAATTAAAATAGCATCCATTCGAAAGAAACCGCTTCGGACGCTTGCGCAAGCAATAGCATTTTCGTATATTTAAACAGGAGGACTAATAAGTAATTTAATTTTTTGGCTAAGTTTTTAACTTGTTGTTAACCAACTAGCTACTCAAGCACAGCTAATTTAGGTTAAATTTTAGCCCCAACTAGCAACTAGCTATGTGTATCAAATGTATCCTAAATTTTGGTCGGTGAACGGGGCAACAACTATGCCCATATTAAGAACTGCCTTACCGTAGGGGTGAAAATGGACAGAATATTTTTCGTAATTCTCCTCCTTCGGTCCTTCCTCTTTTACTTCCTCTCTAAGGTGTTCTTGGCGTGTGTTTAGTTCTAGGACCGGGCCTGGCCGTTTCACTGGAATTTGGCTTATCTTTGATTTATTATGAGAGAAAAGCGGTGTTCGTTCGTTGAAAAAAGCATCTTTCAAGTAGTTCAAGTGAACAGGGCGCATATGGATTGGGTTGACTCTATTCCAGTTTTTTGGATTGAATTCATTCTTTCGTGGTTGGTTACTAGGTTGGGTTTGTCCCTCATTTTCTGTTTGGTTTGACCCGACGATGATAGACTAGTACCATGTCTACCACTGCTGGTTGGAGCCACGAACCGGCAGGGATAATCGACCTATCATTGCCGGTTGTGCTATCACTAACAATTGAAGCCACGAAGCAGCAGTGATGTACTTATCATTGTTGGCTCCACCATAAGTGGTAGTGATGGTCCGGCAGTGATTACATGTTCTGGCGCAGTGTATCTTACTCCTAAGCCAAACAATTATTAAGTTTAACCAAATTTATAGAGAAAAATAGTAACATCTAGCACATAAAAAGGTAAATCATAAAAATACATTATACAATATATTTAATGAAGGAATCCATTTGATATCGTAAGTATATATATTATTATTATTATTTTCTATAAATTTAGTGACTGAAAATCCTTTATGTATCTATCTGTTTCTATCCAATACCTAATAATGTTTATATCTATATATATACCTAATATTAATTAGTACGAAGCATTTTCATGGTCTCTCACTCTCTCACGTGTCTATATAAGTTAGAAATAGAGTAGAGTGTCCAGACACGGTGTAGAGTTTGAAACACCCCCGCACCCCACCCCAAGACGAACCTCTACTGCTTATACGAGTTAGAGTAGCGCAAGTCTAGGCGCACAGTATGGTGTCTGATTCCTAAATGAATTGGAATGTGTGCCGCAATTTTATGGAGCTTATTTTGTGTAGTAGGTCTAGATGGAAGCATACATGACACAACGTGAAGGTTTCCTGCATCTAGTGTATGTTGATGTTTTGTATTGGTTATGTGTCGTATGCAGTTGACACCAGGGTTTCTAGGTGCTATGGATGAGATACTGGTAAGGAGTTCTCTACCCCCACTTTATATAGTCTAGGAGGTAGGGTTACAAATAAGTCTCGGTTTATCAGCTTATAGATTAATTTTCTAAATTGTTGCAACAATGATTTTCTAGTTTGTCACAACCGAATGATCGGGTTATCAGTACCTTTGGGTTGATGTCGCCCCTAGTAAGGTGAAGCCACTCACCCTATGTCCATGGGGCGGCTTTGTCCTGCATGACGATCCCCATGGTCCATGTAGTACATCGTCAGTGGTCCTTGATTCTTATGATCGAGTTTGTGATGATTTTGATGGTCTCTGGATCTAAGCTAAGTGCTTAGCCTCCTCCCTTGATCAAGTCTTTTGAATTCCACCTAGTTGAGCCGCTTTCTTCTCTACCCTAATATTAAAAAGCGAATGGTTTCTTATCTCTTTTTATTCCCAAAATGTCTCTGTGCCCTCCGTGTTTCTGTATATGACCTAAACTCACGACCCGTGCTCGTGCTCATATGAGTTAGAACAACTCGTGTGTCTAGCGATAGTACGGAATCTGACTTTAAGATACATTGGGCAGAGTTCGGATACATTTGCTAGTGTGTGTGTGTAGAACCACTGTTATGCGCAATTAGCCATAGAATAACTTATTATGTGGCCACCTTGAGTTACGATAGTTACTATGCTAATTTACGAGAACAAAACTTCCATCGTCACTACGTGCATCCATTTAATTAGGACACATACGTACGTACGATCTAACAAAACTAACCATGGTGTGCATCTTATATATCCTCGGTCACCTCAAGATAGATGTGTACAAGTGAATGCATTAATTCATCCCTGGTTCATATATTACAAATCACCAAGTCCCAGCTGCAGCTCTCCTAATTAACGAGATTTCCATTAACAAAGGATCGATCTTTGTCCCATACGTACCCTCTCTCTCACTCATCACAAAATGAAACCACGCACGACGGGATCCATCTCCAGGCTCATAGAGATCATAGTTAATTCAAGAACACGTTTCTCGATCGATGGACAGGGCGGAGCAATTAATGGCGGGCTTAAGAGGATGCTCCGAACGTGTCGAAGATGGTGGTGTGGAGCGGGTCGCTCAGGTGGGTGGCCCAGTTGTTGAGCGGCCCCTTGCCGGTGGCGGCGGCCTGCACGGCGAAGCCGAGGAAGGCGACCATGGCGAGGCGCGCGTGCTTGATCTCCGCCAGCTGTAGCCGCTCCTTCTTCTCCGGGTCGGCCGCCAGGCCGAGCGGGTCGAAGTAGGAGCCGCCGGGGTACAGCCTCTTCTCCGGGTCGAGCTCGGCGTTGCGCTGGAACTCGATGTAGCCGATCACGAGCACCTCGATCCAGATGAGCGTCGAGATGGAGAACGGCAGCGGCTGGCCCAGGTAGGAGGACCCGTCCACCAGCTCCACCTGCACGCCGGCCGTCACATTAATTCACAGGTTGGTTAGATCGTTGAAGCGCAGAGAACGAACTCCATGGATACATGCATGAAACTATGTAAGCATTACTAGCTATTGACGTACCTTGCCGGCGTCCTGCCAGGTGACGCCGGTGAGCCACTCGACGGAGAGGGCGCCGAGGGTGGCGAGCATGGCCCAGCGGCCGTGGATGAGCTCGCACTCGCGGAACCGCTGGAGGCCGAACACCTCGCTGTAGGGCTGCAACGGGGTGGACTTGACGTCGGAGGACTCGAACCGGGTGCCGATGACGGCGCCGGGCTCATTCTTGGCCAGGTTCTGGTCCAGCGAGTCTAGCTCGAACTGCAGGTACTCCACGGGCTTCCCGAGCCCGAACGGGTCGAACCCGTAGTCGCCGACCAGCGAGCCGTCGAGGTAGTCGGGCGCCACGGCGCCGGGGAACCACAGCGGCCGGTCAGAGGAGGTCTTCGACACCTTCTTCGGGGCAGCAGGCTTTTTTTCGCCTTTCCGAACCCGAACCGGGCCACGATGCGCCCGTTCTGCGGCGCCAGGTCCGCCAGGCGGGTGCCCAGGAATGTGCTCGCCGCGGCGGCCACTGACGAAGCCATGGCTACTCCTCCTCACCTTTGGTGTGCTGAGGTTGGTGGTGGTGTGTGGTGCGGGGCTCGTCACGGGCTACAAATAGAAAAGTCCTTATAGGAAATTCCGGTGTTATCTCTGGGTGGCAGATCGGACGGCCGTCAGAGGGAAGTGATCTATTTGACGGCCACGATGGGCTCTGCCTTATCCGGGTCTTATCTGTATGGTCCAATGGATGCTGCTGGTGGAGGGCCACGGGACACGTGGAGGGCTACGATTGGGAGGGGGGCATTTGGAGTGCCTCTGATTTGTGGTCTTCGGAGTGCCTGTGGCTGGAAAATATCGCTCAAAATAATCTTGGAGATCATGTGGTTTTGAACCCAAAATGTGTGCGAAGCCCTTTCTGTCGCTGACGGTAACCATCACCAAAGGAACCATCATGTCTCTCAGTATAACTGAAAGTCTCAGGTTAGACCGTTAGAGGCAACCAAAGGAACCTTTAAGGATGTTGAATTCTCATGTTAGAGCGTTAGAGGCAACCTAAGGAACCTTTACAGTTATATATATATATATATATAAGGAACCTTTACTGATGTTGCTTCACTGTTGTGGTCTTAAAGGAAATGAGCAAAATGTGCTCCACTAAGTTTTGGGCGTGCATTGTTTCAATTATTCAATATGAGCTGAATTGATGCTAAATTATGTTAAATTCTTAGTTTAATTACTTTAAAAAATCTTAGTTTAAGCTGCGTGTTATTCTATTCATATTCATGCTAGCAAAGTGAAAAAAGTTACAGTTCCTGTCTTCCTAACGCGTGAACCCAGCACAAAATGGTCTAATTCCTTGGACTTTTCCACCTCAGATATTTTCCAGTACTGAGCCCGGCACATACAAATTCAGATAAAGAACCCATCTACTGATTTCATGGTTGCCACAATATATAAGTGAACACACCCTCTCAAATTATCTCCATTAAAATACAAAAGAGAAAACTATATTTCTCTGCTTATGAGTAACATTGGCCCTCCACATACTTCTTCATATACTTTCGGACTGACAGAGAAAATGAATACATTTGATTTGAAGACACATGAGAAAATACAAATATCTGTCCAACAGTAAGAATAATCTGGATCCTTTTGTACGGCAGAATGCTACACCACACGACGAGCAGCCAAAGATGCCTGTGGTGAAAGGGGTATACATTTTGGTAGTTTCTCAACACGGTCCAGATGTTACTGTTAATTCTGTTATCCTGGGAAACTCTCCTCTGCAAAGGGCTGATCTAATGCCTCATGGAATAAAGGTTTCCATCAAATTTTGTGACAGCTTCGTTCGGCTTCGGGGTTTCTGATCTTTCTTCTCTCTTCTTCTTTTCCCTGCCAATATAGTTATGTTGGACAAGTTTTACCTCACTGGAATGACAGTCGAAAACAGTATACTTATAGGAAAGATGGACAATACAAAGGGGTGGACCATGGAAACCAAGCAATTGACAGTCCTTACTACAAAGAGGAGTGATTTAAGTGGCCAAAAGGGTAACATTTACTGATGAAATCATGTATTTGAAACATTTAATTCAAATAGAAACCTCTCAAATTGCGTAGCAGAGAATCATATGCTGAACACATTTAAACTTAAATGGCAGTAAAGGTGACAAAAAATAACGTGCTCCTGGGATATGACATTACCTATCCACGTATTCCTTGAGAAGTTCCTTGGCTTGAACCAACTTTGAGAGTATGTTACGGTAAACATCAAGGTCCCTATCCACACTTCTTTTACTGACGTTTAGCGCAGTGCAAAGCTATCAATCAAGAAATAAAGTCAGTATCGATTGCCAATGTTAGCGTTGTATAATAGTTAAAGAGCATTTAATTCTGATGTTAACACCAAGCACTACCTACACTGCTCAAATGTTTTGCCGAAATATTTGTTATACTTAGCAAAAAATGGCTTTATCCAAATGTGCTGAAATGTTGTGCACAGTTTTTTTGGTATTACACCAATCTTCGAAGTTCTCAATTGAATAGTGCAGGAAGAGTTAGATAACCTAAATATTAATTCATTTAGCTAGTAAAGCTGCTCTTTCCTCTGGTTATGCAAAAGAAAGATAAAATAAGGGAAGCATATGTTCAAAATGACAAGTTATAATTGAATGGCAATCTACCATATTCCCAAGTGCCAGCCAGCAACATTATGAGCAAAAAAAGTAACTACAACGACTTACAAGGCTACCATACTGTACTGGGCAGAAGGGCACACTAGCCCATGTCTAGGTCAAATGAGAGTTCAAGAAGGAAACCTAACTTCCATGAGTCTGCCTACACAAATATCTAAATAGGTCCTTAGAGAAAGCTACCAAGCAGATTTATTTGAACCCTAATTGTCATTTTCTACTTCGTTAGAAACATCATAAAACTCAGTTCAATTTCAAACTGGCAATCACATGGTATAAATGGTTAATATATTTGCAATCTCAATCATGGGAGAACAATACTGAACAGGCCACTGTACAAGTGAAAGCTATGCAACGACAACAAGATGTCACAAATTAATTCAAATTATAAGTTGTTCTATGCTTTCTGGCAAGAAACACTCATAGATCCTAAAACAGTTGTGAACACTGAATATTAAATTCGGTTTCAGCCACTGATATGATGTAGGCTAAACTGTGTTCTTTAAGCAAAAACAAAAGGCAAAAACAGGTCCTTTCTATAAATGTTTTAGGAAATAAAACTATAGGTGAAATAGGAAGCATAATTGAGAACACACACAACAACTAACAAGAAATGCAAAAACAAAAAACTTGACCACATGACAAGAAATGCAAAAACAAATTAACAATGGCAGGAACAACCTTGTCTAGTACTGTTGGCTCCGTTGCATTTGCAAGCTCAAGCAAACGGAACAAGCCAACTGCAAAGAATCGGCTGTAGCTGAAGTTTCCCTTACCCTTGGCCCTTTCTGATATATCTTTCAGAATGGCCACGATTTCTCCATCTCTGGAAGAAAAATCAACTAAGGAACTACTATTCTGGGAACGTGCCCACTCTTCCATCTTTAGTGCATCAGCTCTGTACAGTGGACACAAAGAACATTTAAACAGGATAGATTTAAAATAGAAGTGTTACTTTCTGATGAAAGAAACTTTATAATGCCAAGTTGCCAACTAGTGACCCAAAATACATAACCTTTAATTAATGCCAAGAAAGCATAGCATCTAGTGTAGTGACCCAAAAAAAATGTAGCATTAACTAGCGTCAGAAATATAAAGGAGGTAAAGCAAGTAAGTTAGTACTAAATTTTTTCTTTAATAAGAAACATCTAGGTTCGGGTAAAAATTGAGGTGTAAAATATGTTTCATGCAGAAACATTGACCACTTAGAATTACAACGCCACCTTCAACAAATAAGGGCCTGCTTCAAAATTGCAGTGTTTGTAAACCTTAGGATTCAAAAAACATATTTTAGAGCATTGCAAGAAATACCACAGTTTGCAACCGCTAGTCTGCTACATTATTTACAGTGTTGAGAATTTGGAAATAACTGGAGATTAAATTGTATATGATAAAGTGACTCAAAAGCCAGATACATGAGCTACGAAAAGCACCTGTATTGATCAGGATCTTCATTTAATGCTGTTATATATGCCCTGAAGATGGAATCCCTGTCCTCATTGCTGGGGTACCCTTCCATGAGCTGATCATAGACAGTGACGAAGCCAAGACCAAACACAGGATCATAATGATAGGTTCTTTTGTATCTCATCAGGTGTTGCTGCACCAAAAGTTCTTGTAAGACTGTACTGTAAATGCTTGGGATTGGGCGTTTGTATGACTTAAGGAAGTTCAGCTTTGTTTCTGCCACAGTAGGTGGGACATCTGTACAAGATTATGAACGTATTAGAAAGGTGCAGCGATGACCAATAACTTTCTGTATCTGTACTATGCTAGTTATGTAAACAGGATGTTATACAACGAATCCCCGCATCCGGCTGTTTCTAATCAAAACATATTGGACAATATTTGGATGTACCATGACCCGATAGCAAATACTTGACAGATGGTTTACAATTTGTTTGAGGGTAGACATCAAGAAGTATTATATTAGAACAAAGAGAGAAGCCAAAAGCAACACGAGAACTTCTGGAAGAGATGATTATGCATAAAATATTGAAGTTTTGCAGAAAGAAGCATTTGGCAGTTTTTTTTTTCATCTGCGCCAAAACTTCTAATGGCACCAACCTGTTCTTGTACACCAGTTCGCCTCCTAAGCATCAAAACAAATTATGTTCCATCAAAAAGTGTGGCTAGCAAATTGGAAGCCACACTTTGTCATGCCTAAGGGAATCTTGCCACACTTTTTACTCCATGACATGTGGAGCCCAGAAGAATCTTACCTAAGCTTAGTCGTCAACCAAACACTTGCCAATTTGGTCAAATTTGCCTAAGGTGAAGTGTGGCTAGCTCCCAAACAGAGCCTATATGCGAAGATGGTGATCCCAGAAACCGATTCAAGAAAGGGCCTAATGATTCCAAATCAGATGTCACCAAAAACTTGTATGGACACTAGCGCATCTCCAATTGTTATTTCATAGATCACCTACACAGGATGACAAACGCCTATAAATTAACAGCTCATAATTGTATTCTACACAATTAGGCTTCTTTGAGTGACATGCATCAATCCTCTTTATGTGGAATTCAACACATCAAAGTTCAGTGAACTGCATAACTGCATTTTCTGAGCAGTAGCAGGTAAAGTGGACTAAGATTTTTACCAAGTCTAGTCGACAAAACACATTTCAGCCTTTCAAGAGCTCACCTCCAAAGCTCATTATACCCGGTCTAGCACAGGCAAGGAGTGAAGAGCTGAATCAAGCAACGGATGCATGAATTGGATTGGCAGGATACCATACAGCGAACAAACCCATCACCAACCGAATTGATAGGAAAAGATATTTCGATTTGATTGCTCACGGTAAAGAAAGGTCCGCTGGAACAAAACTATCAGAATTCAGAACAATCATTCAAACAAGCTAGAGTTTCTTGCCAACAAGAGCCACGCCAGTTCACTGCAAAGACTACGACGGAAGATTCCGAGGTGGCGTGATTCGGCAGCACAAGGCATCACAGCTGGCGAGGCCGGAATCGCACATTGGGGCGAATTTAGGATGAGAAGGAGGGGGTCTTTTGCGGTGCACCGCACGGGTTTGGCATAGTGATTCCGATTCACCAGTTTGAGATAGTGCTGAAGGTACACGCTCGATAGGATAGATAGAGATAGCTCACCACCCGCCGTGGCGACACAGCGCACCACCGAGCGCGAGCTCCGGCGAGACCTCGCGCTGAGCACGACGGCGCCGGAGATGGCCGCCACCGTCGACGACGGCCTCCACTCGGCGGCTCCCCGCAGCGCCGCGAAGGGAAGCGACGATATGGCCGCCATGAGGTACTACTTTGGACCTACAGCCGGGGTGTTTCGCCGGACGCGGCGGCGGGTGGTCGGCGCCGCCGACAAGGGCAAAGTGGTAAATGCAGAGGGGCGAGTGCGAGGAAAGGCTATTGTTCGTCTGGGTAGCGGAGGGATGGGATCTTTCTTATCCAGTAGGCCTACGCAGGTTTCTCGGCCAATATCACGTTGTCACGTGGCATGCAATTCTTTGATTGGAGATTTAATTTTGTTTTGACATTTTTCTTAGGTCTTTCTTTGTAATTTTTATGGGCACAGGAGGTTGGATTTGCTTGCGGTTTTGCAATTAGACTTTACCAGCTAAATGTCCGTTTGGTGTATGTTACTTTCTTAAAGGTGTGTACGCAACAAAAACATGTGATTGGTATGTTTTCCTGAATAGTTTGCTTGTTTGTGCAAGTTGATTATGTCTATTTTAATGTGTTTCTTTAAAATGGTCATGAATCAGGATAATTATGAATGGGGATTTAGGACATGAATCATGGAGCAACAAGGACATGGAAATGTATCTTTTGTAGCTAATGGCTATGAATCATGGAGCAACAAAGAAACATGTGAATATATGTTTTCTAGCTATAAATCCATGTTGCAAATATGCTAAACCTCTTTGCATATCTCTAATGTACTCCTTCTATTCTAAATTATAAGATGTTTTGGTTTTTCTGGATACATAGCTTGGAATGGAGGGAGCAATGTCTAAAATATTTACTGAAAACGGTACCTTTTTTCGTACATAGCACAAATGTGAGCAGAAATTGCGAATATGTTTCCTTGACTTGTATGTCTCTCCGAACGTGATTTGAAATATCTACATAAAATGATTTCCTATTTACACATAGCATATATAAATATGAACATTTGGCATAGTGCGCAACATTTCCACTTTAGTTTTGTTACACCGTTAGCCGAAGTATCTTCGAGTTTTATGAACTAAAACAACCCCAAAGTTTTTTGTTAGGATGGTCCAGCTACGGCTGTTTTAGGTCGACCTCCTTCGGCGCTCGATAGAAGCGTGTTGTCTGTATGATTAAACTCTTCTTCTTAAATACAATGATACACATCCGAGAAAAAAATCTTAAGTGACATGATGGGAAGAGTGGTCTTTATTTTGATCACGTGGTGTAACAAATTAAGTAGTTATACAAAACTTTGGGGATGTGGAAAGAAAAGGGAACAAAAGGGAAAAAGAGACAGGCTAAACATACCACAAAGAGTTATCCACTTGTATAACTTTTAGCTCCGATATATATATTATGCGTTAGTATATTTGCCTTGTATTATGGAAGGAAGCTAGAAAAGCAAATAAATTCCACATCCACACCAAATCCTCCTTCTTGCTATGGACTTTATGATCCTATATTCGTTGTTGCATATTTGTATTGCACAATTTTGTTGATATGGAATACCCTGGTGTAACGTTCTGGCTCCGCCACTGCCGATATACACTTTTAAGTGTCAGATTCTCATCCTTACTAGCATGGAGAAGTGGAATAGTATAAAGATGAAAAAAGGCATTCGGTAAACATGGTAATAGTAGCAAAAACAAACTTCAAATGTAACAAATTATCTGTTAGTATATAAAATTAAATAGACAAAAGAGTGTAGCCTTATAAAGGTCAAATGTTGAAGGTATTCATTCCCCACTACACTATCTATAGTTATAGGTTGTATACTTGTATACAGGCCCATACAGTGGGCGGTGCAACTAGAGCAGTATCACCGGGCCCCCAAAAATTAAGGGCCTCTAATCAACAATTAATCACTAAATCTAATTAAACTAAGTTGCTGGTTACTTTTGGCCTTTTTGTTTTCTCGCCGCAATCCATATGAATAATCGTTAAGTGTCCAGCAATCAGTTGATCACATACGTGACTTTATCACGTTGTTCCGACTTCTTAGTCCATCGTGAGTTCTCGCTTCCGAGTCCATCGGGACTTCGCGCCTTCCACACAACAGTTCAATTCACCTAGCATTGGCAGGTTCCCGACTGCCGTCGGTCAGGCAGTGAGTCCTTCTCGTTGCTTGTTAATTTTACTTTTTTTCCCTACGACATGCACTCTTGTCTAATGATTTAGTAAATGATTGATAGGGTTAAATACTTATTGTTAATCTTATTATTGAAAATTGCATGCTGTCATATATCGGTATTCAAATATATATTTTTTATTTTATTTGCTAGGATGTAGGGAGCTAGGGACCTCATATTGTATTTCGCTCCAGGGCCACAAAATCCTAGATACGTGCCTGGTTGTATATGTATATTCTATACGTGCCTGGTTGTATATGTATATTCTATAGTGCCATTTGGTAATTGTTAAGTTTATGACCGCGCAATATCGGAGCTATTTTGTTGACGACCGCTCTAAACAATAAATTAATTTTTGCACTAGCGTGTGTTGTGTTGTCTCTTCTAAAGACGTCACCTTTTCCTTCCCACTCGCGTTTTTTTCCTTCAATGTGATGCGTTTCTTTCTTGTAGACATGTTTATGTAATAACTAAATTTGTTTTTTACATTAACATTTACATCTAGAGGTGTTGCCCTTCCAACAAGTGACTCTTGTTTTAGTGTATGAGTAGAATATAATATAAGATGTCAATAAAGAGTAATGAAAGCATAAAGTAACAATTTTATTGTAACATAACAAAAGCAGTTATATATATACTCTATCTTTGTAATAATAGCTCACCACCGAAGAAAGCAATAACGATAGTTCATAAATAGCTTCCTCCTAATTCATCATATGTACCTCATCTATTTTTGGTTTGTCACCTAAGAAAGCAATAATGGCAATTGGCAATTCATTATTAACCTATACAATAGTGTTATGATACATTTTTTATATATTTTTTTAATTATTACTCACCACAAAGAAATCGATAACGACAATTTTGCTTTATCGTTTATACCTCATTCATTTTAGCTTGTCACCTAAGAAAGTAATAATAATAATTCGTTAATAACCTATACGATAATGTTATGATATAAAGTAGTAACAATAACTAGTGAACAATTAAGCTAACTCGTGACCAATATCACGAGTTAGCTTAATTGTTACCATCCACCATGTTACTCTATTGTTGTGTCCACCTCCTGCTTCATTGTACCTTATCTATTGTTGGCTGGTCACCTAATTTACGATTTTCATCCATCGTTGTCCATTGCCCCGTGACTTGTTATTGTTATCTATCGTGTAAAAAACACATGTATATGGTCACAAATTAAACAACCCTAAGGGCTTGTTTGGATGTCCATGTATTTACCTCAACCCAGATGTGTTGAAGTGGATTGGAGTGGAAATTAAACTAAGTTCCACTCCAACACACATATGGATTGAGGTAGATACATGTGCATCCAAACAAAGCCTAATAGATAGAATCAATCGCAGAGCACACGTGTATAATTAACGTTGGAACTTTAGTTATCTAACAATGATGTTAAAATGAGTTGCTTATTGCTAAGAAAATTTTAGTAACAATGGCAAAACAGCAAAGCACCATCTAAGAAAACAATAACAATGATTCATTAACAACTTATACAAAAGAGTTGATTATGATATTAATCATGTGATAGCTTAAGGTGCAGTTTGAAAGTCTCGCCAGGTTTCTTGTCTCGTCTCATTCAGTGGAGGTGAGCCAAATTGCTCACTTACTCCAATGAGAAAAAACCTTAAAAAGCACAAATAACGAGGAGAGCTCGCTTGTGAACCAAACACATGCTTACCTCCAATTTTTGGTTGAGTGAGGCAGGCTAAGCGCTTGCCCTGCTATCAAATGTGTCATTAGTAGCTACACTGGACCACACTCCTCTATTGTTGTGCTCACCTCCCCCTTTATTTTAGGGAAGGGCTAGCGCTCGAACGTCCGGACGGATGGCGCATCCGGACACACATCTCGTGCCCCACGCTGTTCTTTGGAAATGAGCCCCGCCCGCGTCCATCCCCCGCAGCACCCCATGTCCTGGACGCAGCACCGCCGCCCACATCGCACCACGCCCTAGCCCCGTGTCCCATCCCGCTCCAGCTCCGCTCCAGCTCCGCTGAACTCTGTGTCTAGGTCGAGCTTGTCGAACTGCCGCGGCGAGATGGAGGGAAGGGAAGGGAGATGAGAGGGAGATGAGAGTAGAGGGCGAGGTGCGCCACGCAAGGTAGGAGCCGAAGCCCTGCGGTAGGTCGCTGTTCGCTAGCCACCGGCACCATTGCAACATGTGCAATACCCGATCTACTTTTGAAACATCTAGATGACATATTTGTAACATACGTCTAAAGACAGATGAAACACTTAAAATAGCGTCTGAAACACATGCAAAAACACTTGAAAAGCCATTGCAAAACATATGCAACATCCAGATAAAACAATTGCAACATCTGTGTGAAACATATGCAACATCCAATTAAACACACTTGCAACATACGTCTGAAAAAACAGATGAAACATTTGAAACAGACTTTGCAACATACGTGTATAGCCATTGCAACATATGCAACATCCTGATCTGCTTTTGCAACATCCATATGAAACACTTGCAATATACCTATTAAACATCTGAAACACTTGAAACATATGCTTGCAATATACGCTTTAAACGTAACATCTCCTCGCTGCTTGGGAGAATGGAGGCTCGTCTGCATGTGGAGTTCACCGGAGATAGCGACACCGGTGTCTCTTGTAAGCGGCGGGCTGCCGGCGGCGGCGGCTGCGCAACGCAGCAGGGAGGCAGCGGCCGCACAACTAGGAGAGGGTAGCCAAGCGCCGTGGCTTGGAGGCAGCTACGCGTCGCGCCTGGCAAGGCAGCGGCCGAGCGCTATGCCTCAGAGGTGCAGGCGGAGGCGGCAGCACAGGGACGAAGCGGCGCAGCGAGCGACTCCTCGTGGGTGAGAACAAGCGAGTGACTTACTGTGTGGACCTATGTAGAGAAGCCCAAGCGGCATACGCATATTTAGATCCGACAACGAGTTAATGCGTCCGATGAAAAGCA